CTGAGAAAATTTCAAATACAGAAGGAATATGGCATGGACTGGAGCCACCATGGGTGCTTTAATGACATGACTCTCGCACATGGCAGCACGGAGCTGCCCCTCAGGCGTACAGCGGCTCTTTCCTTCATTCGATGGGCCCTGCGGCCAGCACAGGCAGGAAGTGATTCAATCATAACAACAGTGAAAATCAGGCCCCTTTGGCACTATGATCCAAATGGGACAGTAACTAGGGAAGCCGCCCCTGTCCCAGTCCCGGAATCTTTCCGCTGAAACAGCTTCTCTCTTTAAAGGAACTGGGTACGAGGAGGGTCTAGATTAGAGAACGAGGAATACGAGTTTCAGAGTCTGCGTGAGACCCGAGGGGCCCTGCTAGTCCCACGGCCTCACATGGCCTTGAGCTCCTCCATGCACTGCTTGGCGTTGCCCTGCCGGATCTGCCGCAGCATCTTGTACTTGTCTGTCGGGCCTTGCCTCCTGTTCTCGTTGTGGATGATGTCATTGCGGGTCTTCTTGTTCTCACCTCTGGCCTGGGACAGCTCGCTGGACAGTCATCAGCTGCTGCTGCACACGCAGGTTCTTCTCGGCCTCCGTGACCGCTCCTTCTCGTCGCAGTCGGCCAGGATGCCCTCGCTGGACAGCTCAGCGCTGTGGCCTGAGTCCTCCGTGCCCTCCTCCTGCAGGTTCTCAGGGACATGATAGGCCGGCGGCTGGTACACAGGGGCGGCGGGGGCGGCGCCGCGGCCATCACCAGCTGCAGCTCCTCCGTGGTCTTCACCAGGCCATCCTGGGCTCCTTGGCCCGGAGCTGCCACCCCTTCACCTCGTCCTCCTTGCGCCTGCGGGCCTCCTCCAGGAGCGCGATCTTGGCCGCGTGCTCTGCAAGCTCCGTGGCCAGCGGCTTCTTGCTCTTTATCTGACCCACCGCCGGCCTCTCCCGCTCCTCCAGGAGCTCCTCCTCCAGTGCAGGGCCCTCTGGGTCCAGTCCCGGAGCTCTTTCCGGGCCTTCTTGGCCTCCTGCTCCGAGCCCTGGGGCCTGAGCACCAGCTCCTCCTCCTCCCTCTCCACAGTCTCTGCCTCTTCTCGGTTTCCAGCTGCTGCCGCCCCAGCTGTTCCTGGTGCTTCTCCTCGCGGGCCTGGGCCTTCATCTGGGCACCTGGATGGTGCCGGGCTTCCCGCGGCGCATGTACAGCTCCTGGTTCCCCACGCAGAGCGGCAGCATCCGCTTGTTGATGCGCAAGGTGTGTGTGTGTGGGGGGAGGGGGGGTAGAAGATGCGGTCAGGCGCGGTCTTGTCGATGGGCTTGATGACAAACTTCTTGTCATTGAAAGAGATGTTCCTGATCTCACTCCACGGGAAGCCAATCTCTGGGGCAATCTTATCGTCTT